TATCGTATAATTTAATATTTATTAGAATAAATTCTATTTTAGTCTAACCCAACATTAAAGCATTAAATAATTATTATAACCTTAGATCGTTGTCAAGTTTTTTGAATTCTCGTATACTTGTATTTTGATTGGTCATTCAGCTTATGTAACAGCATTTCCCCTTAGCGAGGGGGTGTTTGATTGATTTGAATCTTTTAAAACCCTTTATTCTACATTCAACATCGTCACTTGATAAGACACCAAAAGTGTTGAAATAAAATGGCTATTTTTGTAATGATTTTAATAACATATTTGTATTATAATTTTCGAATAAATAATTATATTTGCTCTACTCTGTATTGAGCACTCTTTTAAGAATAGTATTTGTTGGTTATCGGAATTTATTCAATATACACCAATCCTATACTTGTATATATATATATATATATATATATATATATATATATATTATATATATAGTTGGTTTCTGGGTTTCACGCTGTTTGCGATCGTCAGACAAACTGATTAATTTTCAAATTTTGGATTTATATATGGTTGCGTATATTGGTGTTTTTATGGAAGTGGGAGGAAAAATTGTCGTCGGAACGCCACTCACATATAATATTTAAATATATAAATAAATAATATATATTAAAATTACACACACACACACATATATATATATATATATATATATATACATATATATATATATATATATATATATATACACAGAAGTTATGCAAGGTTCTATTGCCGCCCTCAAAACTATGACATCTCAATTTTCATAGGGTAGTATTCGTATAAAATACAAATTTTATTGTAACCTAATTGTATACAATAATGGCGCATATACAAGGTGAACAATTAAACTAGAAAATAGTTGAAACAGTATCTGAATCCAAATTAGAGATATGTCATAACAGATTACTCCATCTTAACTAAATCAACAATGTTTTGCGGCAATTTTAAATATCAACTTAAGATTTATATTATTAAACAGTTAAATAATTTTAACACCTTCAACATTATGGATATAGTGAATTTTTTGTAGTTTTTTTTTTTTTCGAGACTTTGCATGAGCAAAACAAATTTATATGTACAGTGTAACCCAGATATAACAGATTAAGATTATATCTGGGTTACACTGTACATATAAATGTAGGTAAAGAAAAAAAGCAAATGTTAATAAGATACAAATCAGGTTTTTAAGTCGCTGATTGGTGACTGGAGTAGTACACCGCGACACTTCAGGGCAGATACTTCTCTTGTCAGTTTAAACACGCGCCTTCTTTTATATATATATATCTTTTATTTATAAATAATACATTTCTTTAAAAAGATATGTCTAAAATTTACATTTTTTTCATGTGAAACCAAACAAATACGAATTTTAAGCAAAATGCTCACAATATGAAAAAAAAAAAAATTTAAATAGCCCATCTACTGGGGCCTCCGTTTTTTTTTTTTTTGGGGGGCGGTTAATATTGAAATTAATTATAAACTATAATTTTGAAAAGTAAAAAAAATATCCTGAATTACGTCAGAAAATTTTTAAGTTTTTGTCTAACTTCAAGTATGAAAATAGTAACTTTAAACAAAATGGTTACAATATAAGGGCAAAGTACGTTAATTTAAAATTAAATTGACACCATAATTATATAGAATAACATCGTTTCGACGCGAACCTTGAAAATTACCGCTGCAGCTGAATATACAAAAATAAGCAATTGTAAAAAAGACATTCTTTACTTGGATGCTGTATGTTAAAAATACTTTGAAATATTTAAAATACTTTGAAATACTGCTGAAAAATACATTGAAATATTTAAATTTAAAATTGGGATCTAAAATTCACACAAATTCTCCCAGAGAGACGCCTTTCCATTGCACACCGGTTATGGGAAAAACAGATTTTTTTTTTAATTGTAAAAAATTCCTTGTAAGTACATAGAATATCATCCACACTTATGAAATGTGAATAATTCCCTGATTTTTGGTAATTTTTAATTCTGAGGGTTGGAGTTGTTGCGAGGCAAGCTAAATAAATTTTGATTTAAATTTCAAGAGTGCCAAAAATTTAATTAAAAAAAGACAAAAAAACTTTAATTTAAAAATTATAATTTATTGGGGTGAATTAATATTTGCGTTAAGTTTACGATATTGTTTAGAGTTAAATTAACAGAAAAGAACCTAGAATTGGTTAAAATTTATAAAAAGAATATAATGTTTTTAAAAGCAATGTCATATATAAATATCTAGATAAATGTACTTAAAAATGAATGAAAAAATATAACTTACGACATATGTTTCAAAACATAAAAGCGTACGTCCATTAAATGTTTCCTACTCTCCACAGCAGTTGCAACTGCAACAGTCTGTCAAATAATGAACTCACTGAGAGAGAATGAGAAATTATTAGAAGGAAGTACATATCCGGATATCAAAATGAAATATGAAAGCAGATAGCGCTGGCGATCTCAGAACTGATGATCGGTTTTTGCTTTTTTTTGTGAGGGGTTGTTTTTTTTTTTTTTGTCTTTTGTTTTTTGATGCCACGTCGTAAACGATCATGTCTTCACACCGCTTCCTATTCTTTTTATGTGTGAATAAAAATGACTTACCCAGGGCTTGAAGGGCCACCTCGGCGTGGTGTAATGTTTAGCAAGCTTGGCAGTCATCATCAGATTACTACTGAAAAGTGAGTTTGATCCTCACTGGATGCCCCATACTTTCAGCCTTGATTACATCTAAGCTACGCTTGGAAAATCTCTACCCAGGGCTTGACGGCTTCTTATTCTTTTTTCTTACAATTAAGAGAAGAGCGTGATTTAAGAAGAGAATAACAAATGTTTGACACTGTTAAGCAATATTTCAATAAAATATCTGTCTTTTTTAAGATATATTTAAAAAAAAAATTCAAGTATAAGAATAAATAAAAATATTAGGTTCTGCTTTAGCCTTTAGCGTATGTCCAGCCGATCAGTGTGTCCTGCCGATCAGTGTATCCAACCACGACATTTATATCCTATATTATCTAACGTAAGGTGAAAAGCAAAAACAGAAGGGATGCTATTTATTGTTGTATTATAAAATTTAAAACAAAAAAAAAAAATTATTTACATTATTTACATTATTCGGACTGTTATCCTCGTCATCATTGCCATATTCGCAACGTTTCGGCCGTTATACGCTCCGACCTTTTACAGGTGATTGGAATTTCAAACCGAACCTATTATGTGGACAACAGTCCGAACTATGTAAATAACGTAAATAATTACAGTACCTCATCTTACAAATATCGACAGATGCTGAAGAAGCCCGGAGCGTATACCGTCCGAAACATTGTGAATATATCAAAGAAGATGAGGTCAACAGTCTGAAATATGTAAATAGTGTAAATAATTACAATACCTCATCTCAGTAATATAGACCAGATTCTGAAGAAGGCCGGCCCGTACACTTGCCGAAACATCATGAATATGGCAACGAAGATTAGGTCAACAATCCGAAATATATAAATAGTGTAAATAATTACAATACCTCATCTGAGTAATATAGACCTGATCCTGAAGAAGGTCGGAGCGTACACTGGCCGAAACATTGTGAATATGGCAACGAAGATTAGGTCAACAATCCGAAAGATGTAAATAGTGTAAATAATTACAATACCTCATCTCAGTAATATAGACCAGATCCTGAAGAAGGCCGGAGCGTACAGTCGCCGAAACATCGTGAATATGGCAACGAAGATTAGTTCAACAATCCGAAATATGTAAATAGTGTAAATAATTAAATTACCTGATTAAGTGTTTTTCTTTTCTTTTTCTAGTTTCATATCACACTCTTCACTTAACTGTTGAAAGATACTGCGAAAGGTACGTCAATCATTTTGATTTTTTTAATAATAATAATAATAATAATAATTATTATTATTATTATTATTTTTTTATTATTATTATTCCGAAAACATATCTTGCAGACATTTTATTTATTCAACAGACGATGTCATTTAACTGATTTGAATAATTTCCTAATGAATGTATTAATTCGTACCTTGGAGAAGTGATCATTATATGTTTGTTCATGGCTCTCCAAAATATCCTGCCTTCCTTTGTAGCTCTTAGTAATTTTTGTATCTTCGCCATCTCTCTTAATCTCTGTTCTACCAACCATTTACACCAAGCTCCCTAGGTAGGTTATGTGCTGTCTTCCTCTGTTCTTGCCTTCAATATTTCTTCTCAGTGCCAAATATTTTAACTCCACTTTGCATGTTAGAAATTTCAATTGTCTCTTTCTGATGTTAAGTACAGGATGCTGCAGAAATACCTCCCATTTAATAGCAATACATCAGTGGCAATGGTGTCTTCACCGAGCTAATGTCTTACTATTATGTGAGAGAGATTTCTCGGATGTATATGTGGGTGGCATGTCTGCCGAACCCTGTATAAGTGTCCATTTTGTTTCTATTTTCTATAAAACTTCACCATTACTCACATGCTCGGTCTATGTTATTCTCAGCATCCTTCTGTAGAACCACATTTCTGTTTAAAGTCTCTTCTTCATCTGTGATGAGATGGTCCAACATTCCCTGCCATCTAGGAGGACCGATATTACATAACAGTTAAATGATCTGCTTTTTGTTTCTAACGGGATTTTCCTGTTTCTTGATACTTCGCTGAGCTTTTGCAAGGCCCCTTTCGATGTCCCAATGGACCTTCGTATTTCAGTGTCACATTTTCCGTCCTCTGTTAAAACATTTCCTAGATATTTAATGTTTGTTACATGTTTGATTTTGGTAACGCCAATTTGTAATTCATATGTTCGGCTCTTTTTGCGGACAATCATGCACTCTGTCTTCATGCAATTGATGCTTAGTCCTTTCTTCACGCTTTCCTTCACTACTTCCTGTAGTTTCTTTTCTATGTCAGCTAACAACACTGTGCATGCATATCTTATGTTGTTAAAATTCTGGCTACCAATAAAGTTTCTCCGAACCACCTCACGATAAAGGTTGAGGCTGGCGACGATATCACGCTGAAACACGGGTTTCTGTACGATCACCGAAGTTAAGCAACGTCGAACCTAGTCAGTGACTAGATGGGTGAACGCTTAGGAATACCAGCTGCTGTAAGCTTGGGTTTGCGGGTGGTGTAATCGATGTTAAGCAATGTCGAGTCTGGCCAGTACCTAGATGGGTGATCTGTTAGGAATACCGGGTGCTGTAAGCTTAGATGTGCGTGAGGTGTAATGGATGAGTTAAGCAATGTAGAGCTTGGTCAGTACCTAAATGGGTGACCGGTTGGGAATGCCAGGTGCTGTAAACTTCGGTTTGCAGATGGTGTAATGGATGTTAAGCAATGTCGAGCCTGGTTAGTGCCTATATGGGTGATCGCTTGGGAATACCAGGTGCTGTAAGCTTGGGTGTGCGAGTGGTGTAATAGATAAGTTAAAAATATTGAAAAAAAACCTCAATGGGTGATCTAGGATGTGCTGTAAGCTTAGATGTGTAATGGATGAAAAATCAATGTAGTTGGTGTTACATAGCAATATTTTGAAGCCTGGTCAGATGGTTTAAGGATGTTAGATGGGCCTGGTCTCTTAGGAATATTTGGTGACTTTAAAAAGAATTGGTAATGAATGTAATGGATGAAAAAAGAAATGGGCCTGGTCGATTTAATAGGATACCAGGTGTTTTCCGTGGAAGCATTGTCATTGTCGAGCCTGGTCAGTACCTAATGGGTGATCGCTTGAGAATACCAGGCGCTGTAAGCTTAGGTATGCAGGTGTTGTAATGGATAAGTTAAGCAATGTCGCCTGGTCAGTACCAAGATGAGTGACCGTTTGGGAATACCAGGTGCTTTAAGCTTGGATGTGCGTGGTGTGTAATGGATAAGTTAAGCAATATCGAGCCTGATCAGTACCTATATGAGTGATCTCTTGGGAATACCGCGTGCTGTAAGCTTGGATGTGCGTGAGGTGTAATGGATAAGTTAAGCAATGTCGAGCCTAGTTAGTACCTAGGTGGGTGATCGCTTGGGAATATCGGCTGCTGTAAGCTTGGGTGTGCGAGTGGTGTAAATAGATAAGTTAAGCAATGTTGAGCCTGGTCAGTACCTAAATGGTTGATCGCTTGGGAATACTGGGTGTTGTATGCTTGGAGGTGCGTGGGGTACAATGGATAACTTAAGCAATGTCGAGCCTGGTCAGTACCTAAATGGGTAATCGCTTGAGAATACCAGGCGCTGTAAGGTTCGGTGTGCAGGTGGTGTAATGGTTAAGTTAAGCAATGTAGAGCCTGGTCAGTACCTAGATTGGAGATTGATTAGGAATAACAGGTGCTGTAAGCTTGGATGTGCGGATGGTGCAATGGATAAGTTAAGTAGCTTCGCCGTTTCCATTTTACGCGTCGGTACCCATTGCGCTAGTTAGACATCCTGATACAAGCAAAAGATTTTGATGAAGTATTTATTTTGTAATAGATTTTGCACAAAAAAATTGCTACACCGGTAGTTTCAAACTCAAGAACACAAAAGGGACATTATTCTTCTTTGGTGTTTTTTCTTATCTTTATCAACGATCTTCCTGATGTCATCAGTTCCCAGTTAGACGATAACGCGATACACACATGGTGGCTGCCGACTCGCAAAGAGAGTATGACCATCACTGGCATGTCCAACCCTTCCCTTAAACTCCCTGCATTCATCAGTTGTGTGAACGACAGTGGCTTCTTAAAGCCAGCCATCGATATGCATTTCTTGTCACATATGTGGCATATCAAATCATCTTCGGGTGGTGAAAGGAGACTTTGATCATCATCACTTCTAATGTGTCCTTTCATATGCTTTGTCAGGCCCGGCCTGGATTTGCACACGCAAATGCAGGTTGAGCAGTCAAAGCATGCCATTACGAAATTGTCACATACATGTTGGTGTTGGTGTGATTTCTAGTGACTGAGCAGACCCACACTAGACAGATATATCCGATTGCACATGGCCAGGTTGGTACCTCATGGCAATTCGGGGATCCCTTCCAAACCCCTCTCTTCAGTTCTGCATATTATTGTGATGCCTCATGAAAGATCTTGACGCCGTCAGTAATACCCGCTCTCCAAGAAACCCGGTCCTCAGCTAGAGTTTCCTAGTTATCCAGACCAATACTGCACTTGTATAGTGACTCTTTAAGGCAATCTTTGTAACGAAGTTTGGTCTTGTGCTGCGGTCTTTTTCCCCACTTCCAATTCTCCATACATTATTTGTTTTGGAATTCTGTCATTCGCCATACAGAAAACATGGCCCATCCATCGCAATTGGTGCTTGTATATAAGTGCTTCCACAGAGAGGGAATTGGCCCTTTGTAGAAAAACAGTATCAGGGCTGTGAGACATCCAGCGTGTTGTAAGCACAGACCGAAGGCAGCGTTAATGAAAACGTTCCAGTATCTTCAGATATCTGCGTTAGACTAATCATGTCTCACATGAATATAGCAGAGATGACATAACAGGTATTATATATTTTAAATGTTGTTTGCGTTTTTCTACCCTTCTGACTCCAAACACGGATCTTGAGTGCTGCAAATGCATCGAAGGCCTTCTTAATCTGTAACCCTATCTCATCGTCAAGAGAGCAGTGGTGGTTGAAGATGCTACCAAGGTATACAAATTTGTCTACTACCCTAAGTCGACTACCATCAACACAAATTGATGGCTCTATATACTGAATTCCTCGGGCAGGTTGATATATCACCACTGTCTTGTCAAGGCTAATGGACAGTCCAAAAGCTTTACATGACCCTGATAGTCGATCCATGAACGTGTTGAATTGTATGTAGGACCAGGTGACAGTCATTGGCATAGAGAAAGTTGCGCACTAAACTCAAAAAGACTTTTCTCCTTGCTGCAAACCTACGTATGTTGAAAAGCTTGCCAGTTGACCTGTACCTTATCATACCATCATGGCAGTCCCCGATCGCATCAAGCAGAACAATAGCAAGGTAGATAAAAACAATGTAGGAACCTGCTTGACTCAATTTTCAACCTTGGTGAGCCCTATAATCATTCCGCCAAAACTGACACAGGCTTCCATACCGTTATGGAAGGACCTCAGAATCTTGAGAAAGTGGCGGGGACAACCCAATTTCGAGAGGATCTTCCAGAAATCAGTGTGAAAAGCCTTCCTCAGATCTACAAATATTTGATAATGGTCCATTTGTTGTTCACAGCTCTTTTCTTGGATTTGTCGTGCTGTGAAAATCATATCTGCGGTCCCTCTGTGTTAGTGGAAACAACACTGTGAATCAGGCAGTATATTGTCAACTATGCTCTGGTTTAATCTTAATAGGAGAGGCTAAGACCTTATTTTCTGAAGAAAGGAGAGCAATCTCTCCATATTTGCCACATAATTCCCGGGCACCTTTACCCTTATATATAGGCTTCGTTGTTACATCCCTCCAATTTTTTGGCACTTCTCCATCTCTCCGAACCTTTACAATAAGATCAGGCATAAGTTGACTTAAATGTATTCCACCGTAACGGAATATCTCAGCAGGATGGGAGTCAATCCCAATAGCCCTGTCTATGTTGAGTCTCTCCATGCCACGCAGAACCTCGCTCAGCGATGGTAGGCTGTCTCGTTCTACCATTATGGGTCTTTGTGGTATTTTCTCAAGAACCTCAGGATTCACATTTCAAGGCCTGTTCAGTAACCCATCAAAGTGTTGCTTCCATCTTTTGGCCATGCCATCCATGTCTGTGAGGAGATCATTGTCGTCCCCAGTCATGGGAGGAGTGATCTTGCTGGATCTGGGGCCAAATAATTGTTTCATTAAGTAGTACAGCTGCTTTGTATTATTTGAATTCACTGCATTTTGTATTTCCTCTGCTAGCTCTGACCACCATTTTCCTGCATAATTGCTCTCTATTAATCACCATAGAGATCCTTCCCTGCCTCCCATTAGAATGCTTGATGCTCAACTTCTTGAGAGCAACTCTCTGCGTCTGCTCGGTCTCAAGTTGACTGCTGACCTGAGATGGAACAAATACATTGAGTCAATTGCTTCGTCCACCGCAAGGAAAGTTGGCTCTCTGTGCCTCGCCAGGAAATTTTTCTCCCCGGAATCGATACTTCAAATATACAAATCAACCATTCGCCCTTGCATGAAGTATTGCTGCCATGTATGGTCTGGGGCACCTTCTGTTTACCTCGGAGTTCTCGACAAGATCCAGAGGCGGATATGTAATATAATTGGCCCTGATCTGGCATCTCGTCTACAGTCACTCTCTCACAGACGTGCCGTCGCCTTCTCTCTGTCTTTGTTACAAATACTTTCATAGTAATTGCTCCGGTGAGCTGCTTTCACTGGTTCCCAGACTTTATGAATTCAAGCGCCCTTCGAGGCTGGCATCCCTCTCTCACCCTTACACTGTAGAAACTTTTAAATGTAGACGTCTTTTCTACTCCAATAGCTTCATATCTCGCACATCTCGCCTGTGGAACACCCTTCCCTATTACTGTTTCCCTGAGAGCTATAATCTCCAACTATTCAAATGTAATGTCAATCGACATCTCCAGTTACCTTGATCTATCCACTATCCTTCTCCTCGTCCTTTCTTCTATCACTCCTATCTGCTCTTGCTCCAAATCTTCTGCAACCCCCTGCATCCTAGTGGCTTCCCGCCTTGCTCGGGGCGTAATGCTTAAAAAAAAAATTCGAAGAGCATGTTCAGCTTCTGCATTTTCAGCTTTAAGCTCCTTGCACAGTTTACTGTGTTGTTCTTTGGACCGGCCTTTCGTATCTGATTCTTTCCTTCAATGATCTCCTTGATAGCATCATCATTTTCATCAAACCGGTCTCAATGTTTTGCTGGAATTTTGCCCAAAACTTCCTCAGCCGAATCACATATATTCTTCTTCAAAGAGTCCCATGAAGATGTATCATTGATTTCAGCAAGTCCTGTTTTAATAATTCCTGCATTTTCCATTCACCACAAGAACTCGTCCATCACCAATCAATCCTCCAACCACCATAATACCACATCCTCTCCAGGGGAACCTACCAAAAAAAACGCGCCCCAATCCATAAAAAATTAATGATGATATATATGTATATTTAAAATTCTAATAATGATAAAATGAGA